GCTAATGCGGCGTCTAAGCCTAGTCCGCGCTTGGCACCTGCTGGAGCAGCTCCTGTAGCTGGCGGTACACGGCGTCGGTTGTGCGCAGCTCCTTTGAGCGGACGGTGAGCTCGAGAGCGCGGCCTGCACCGATTGACGAACTGGTTAAGGAACGAGCTAACGACTACTCTTGACCGGTGGGCTCGGGCGCGCGGCCCTGCATCAGGCCGAGCTTCGCGTGAACGAGCACGGTATGTTCTGAGCCGGCGAGCTGCCCCGCCGAGATACACTCCATGCCGATGGTGTCCACCTGCTCGATCGAGTATGGTCGTGAGGAGGGGGGGGGGAGGGGGAAGGGGGAGAGGTCGCCCCACGGCCGAGTGGACCTGTTCGTCACCAGCACGGCCTGTGATTACGAGAAGGAGGGTGCTTCCGCTCCACTCCATGCCGATGGCGTTGCACCGCTGCGAGGTGCATCGCGCCGCCGACCAAGGTCGAGTACCTGCTCGCAGGCGCGCCGCGGGTAAACAGCCAAGCGCCGCACGTGTGCAGCGCCCGCCCGCGGGCAAGGAGAGGCCACTTTGGCGCGGCGGCGGCGGCGGCGGTCGTCACCACCGTCTTCCGCTCGGCGGCGTGCGCCGGCCACATGGCGCCGAACTGCTGCGTCGAGATCTTGTGTGGGCGCAGCAGGTCGCTCGGCTTGAGAGGCAGCTGGAAGGAGAGGATGTGCGAGGCGCCGCTCAGCGCCTCGGTGTACGAGACCTGGCCAAGCAAGTGCACCTCTGTCCCATACCTCTAGAGTACCGAATCCAGTGTGGGTTCAGTACCGTGGGTGGTGCGGTAGCAGACCTGGCCAAGCAAGTGCTGCTCGGCGGCGGCGGCGGCGGTGGCGCACGTGACGGACGCGCCGACCGACGTGGCACCGGCGGCGTGCAGCTCGGCAATGGAGCAGCGAGGCCCGCTCACCTTTGCCAGCAGTCCGGGACCGGTGATGCGGCCGGTGACGGCTTGCCTCGTGGGGTCCCCAGATGACCCGAGATTGTCCGAGATTGTCCGAGATTGTCCGAGATTCCTCGAGAGTCCGGGACCCAGTGAGCTGTCCTGTGAGCTGCGATCTGTGCGTCCAGCAGTCCGGGCCCAAATCTCCCCGTATCTCCCCTGTGAGCTGCGATCTGTGCGTCCAGCAGCCCGGGCCCAAATGATACGGACGGTGGCAGTGTGTGGCCTCGTGTCGGCTCGCGAGCCAGTCGATCGCAGCGAGAGAGTGTGGAGTGTGCGCGTGCGTGCCCGTCCCCCACATGCCAGGGTGTGTGTCAGACTGACTTGCTGTCTGGCCCCGCGCACCTGCCCGCTGGCGGGCGGCGCCGGAGGAGAGAGCGAGAGGCGCAGCGAGAGAGGAACGTCTAGCGCGACGGCGATCGAGCGCAGCGGAGCGCCGCTACTCCGCAGGCCGATTGCCTGGTCACAGGTGGAGGTGTGAAGAGGCGCTGCTCCGACGGGCGCCGCTACTCTGCCCGCCGGTCGCCAGCTCTGCGGCGGAGGCTCCGGCCGTCTTCGAGACGGAAAGCTGCAGTCGCGCGTCCGATGTGAGAGGCGCCGGCGCCGAGGACGCGTCGGCCACGGGCGCGTCGGAGACTGGCACGCCTGCATGCACCACACCTCCAGAGTGGTCGAACCCAGTGTGGGTTCCGTCCCGTGGGTGGTGCGGTAGCCAAGGTGGGCGCCCGGCCCACGTGCTGAAGACGCCAACCTCGGGGCGGGAGGACGGCAGCGTGCGGTGTGTTCAGAGCGCCGCGTGAGAGCACATGGGGGAGGCGAATACAGTCATTACAGCGGAGCACGGCCGAATGCGGCTGAGTGCGTGTCCTCTCGAGCGCTGGCTGGGAGCGCAAGAATACGTGCGACTGTTCCGCGTCTGGGCTGGGCCGCCTCCAAAGACTCCGCCGCCGGTGGGCCGCATCGCGGCCGCGGCTTGCATCGCCCCCGGGGG